ATGTGCATGTGGGCTGCCTTATTGCTCAGATCAGTTTGGAAAACAGCTTTCTCAACAGTTGCTGGGGACATAATTATGCACATATACCCATAAGGCACAGGACAACCACTAGTCTAATGTATTTCAGTGGTGGGGGTGTTTGTGTTGCCTTACTTATCAAGACAGAAGAGTAAGAGGGAGTGAAGAAGCGAATGGGCTCTGATAATGCTGCTGATGGGAAGATAGTATGGATGCATCCTGGAAGGGGAGTCAGGGGGGAGTCAGGCAAACCTGCCTGCAGGGAAGGACTGGGGGCAAAAATACATCTGAGTGCAAATAAGAACATTTCTGAACTAACAAATTTCTCAACCTTTAATGAAAAGAAAGAACGCTCACCTTTGTGCATGGATCCTGGTGCTCTATTTTATTATACAGAGAAGATGCCACTGGGTGCCAAAGGTGCAGCAGACTTGGGACTTATTGCTCCTTCTGCCTACCTGAATCACACTAAACTAAGGAAGACATTGGGGGAAAATAAATCTTATTGAATAAATGTCATTCCAATTCCCAGTTTTCTTTTCTTCCTACACAGCCAATACTTTTTAATCATCTCATGTCAGTACAATGTCATGTTCTGTATTAACAGCATGAGATGAACCTGCTTATCTTTGACAGCACAGACTATTCCTGCCAGGGTTTTGCCCAAAGCAAGTGCTTTTTCACGTCTCTGCAGACTGGCCACTTCCTCATTTCTCCACACCAAATAGATAAACTGCTTTGTACACAAGGACGGGCTTAATGCTCCTGCTTTCCCAGAGCTGCTCTTATTCCTCAGGAAGAATCTCAGTCTGCTTTACAAACATTGCCAACAGATTTACAAACTATATATAGAAATCGTTTCACTTGCTACTGATGTACAGACATAGGGTGACCACAGCAGCTGTTTGGAATTACATCGCAATATTGCTCAACAGGTTTGGAAAGGAAGTAGAGGCCACTGTATTGCAAAGAAAGTAACAGAGAAACTGCTGTATGCACAGAAAATGTGGGGTTTGGAAGGATAATTTCAGTGGGATGCAGTTAGCCTACTACTTTTTAAAAAATGTAGCATCATAAAATAGGTAAAAATTACCAATGTAAGAACTGTATTATTTATGGTGGTATTTGCAAATACACTGTAATATGCATGTCCATATCAGGTAGTTATTAAATTATAAGTGATTGTGAAAACTGCATGGATTTCATCCTTTGTTAATACCTGGCAGACAATTCTCCCATGTAACTTAGCCAAACCTATGGTTTGTCATTCAGTTTAAAAAATTACTCTATTTCTTTATACACAAGAGAGCAAAACAGGTAGTTACTATATTTAGCATTTCCTTTGTCACTTATTTTTAACAGTGTGTGTTTATGAAGATTTTTTAAAAAGGAGATGCCAGCAATATAAACAAATTACATACTTCATAGAGAATTAAATACAAGCAGCAGTACTAACCAGGTAAATTCTCTATTGTCTTTAATTATGTCGGGGGTTTGTTTTGCTTTTATTTTTTGTTAGTCCATATTAATGACAACAGAAGTTCTGCCAATATCTACCATGCATAGCAAATGTGGACAAATGGCAATGGGTTTGCCCAATTAGATGTAGAGATTTCTACTGAAAATGTGAATTTTGAAAATTAAATGAAAATACATTGAACATGTCACCAGAGCTACACTGTTATATCATTCTTATGACTACTAATTATTCACTAATATATTTTTGTAGCTTTTCAGGAGAACCCCAGCTCCCTCAGACATTCCTCATAAGACTTATGTTCCAGACCCTGGAAGTGATGGAAAAACAAAAGAGATTAAAACCTGTTCTACAGAGATAAATCAAAACAAATTATATCCATGCAAGCCATAGCCAAACCATGGATATTTTAGTAGAGTTTTTTTCCTGCCCCAAGTAAGGGTCATGAAAAATCCCTTTACCTTACCCCAAGCTAGACACAAAAGGGCCTGTGGCTTTGTGACGGTGTTTTTCCATGTGTGACTCGTGCACTGATGGCAATAGTCTGAGAAAGGGCAGCTCAGCACTTGGAGCCCATGTCAGAACACAGACTGCTGCAGTAAAATTGCTGCTCACCTCCCACCTCAGCCTCACCCCGGCCTTGATACCCAGAACAAGCTCTGCCATGCCAGCTCCCAAAATTAGATGGTAGCCAGTGCACAGAGCTTTATGGATGACCCACACACAGCATTATGGCTTCTACAGGGAACAGCTCGTCATATACAGGACTCGTGGCGATGGTTTTCTCCCTCCTGCACTGAGCTCTGAAAACACTCACAGCTACAAACTCTATCCCACGGGTGCTGAAAAGGCTAAAGGCTGATGTAACCACTGTTGAATGTCTGGCTCCTTGGAGAGCTCACAGCCTGGTGCAGCTGCTTGTGTCAGATTTTATGAGAAATAGAAACCAAATTATACCTCTGATTTCAAACATTGTCCCCAAATTGATAGGAGGCCCTATCCCACAGCATGCCTGATTCAGTGCCAGGGCATTTAATTACTTGTAGACAACATTGCCCGGGGGTGGGCATGCCATGGAATTGGGTTGCGATGGAACAGCCTGTGGGACACACCCAAATAGTCGAGAAAATTAAATGCTAGTGTTGCAAGGGTTCAATCACAGTCCAAGTAGGGAAAATAAAAATGTTTTTTCCTACCAATTTATTCTTCCAGCTGGGAATGAAGCCTTTGTGTCTTTTCACACAACCACCAGCTCTGGCCCAGTTACATTTCCTGGTTCTACCACCACATAGTCAAGTCCATAAAAAGTAGCATCAAATGGTCTGGCTGCAAAATATGGGAGTCAAAAGAATTGTGTTCAATTCCTAGCTGTGCCATAAGCCTGACATGGGGAAAACAGCTCCATGACTATCTCACCTCATATTTCATTTAAAATAAAGTTTTGCTTTTCCCTCCATTCAGTTCACGGTTGCCTTGAAAATATAAAAGACACTTTCTCATAATGCTGTACTTGCTTTAGAGTTGAGGAGGATGGGGGTGGGAAGGAAGGGAAGCAAGGGTGGGCAGAAGTCTTTAATAAATAAACAACTTCAATGGTGAAGGATAGAAAAGCTTTATATCAGTATCACTCCACCTCCTATAAAAGGCAACCAAACAAAAAAAGGGCTTGGCTGTACTGATTAAAAGACAAACACAACCAGTACCATGTCTTTTTAGCTTACCTAGTGATATTCAAATGACTAGTTCATGGTATTTTAAACACTTGGGGCAATGCTCAGTGCTACATCTGAATGCTTTGATGCTACAGGCAATGTAACTACTGCCTGATGCTTGTATGAAGTCCTAAATATAAACCTTTGCCCGTGAACTAAAATTACTAATGGAATTTGGCTCTAGCCACAGAAAGGGTTTAAAATCTCCTATCTAAAGCCTTATTTGATCATGTTTCCTTTGCTGGTTGCAGTATACTGTATCAGATATGCAATTACCTAAATTCTTCTGTTGTGGTCACTGTATTAATTAAAATTACCACAATTTAAGATTTACTATGATCAGGCCCATATTTCTAATTAAGAATTCCCACAAAGAAGTATCAGTTTATAGGTTAGGAAGCATACATGTATTTATCCTGTTATGTCCAGGAGGTATTGGCCAGTAGAGCCTTGACTTACAGTCAGCTGTGTTGGGCTCACTGGGCACTCTGTGCTCAGGCCATGCCTGCAGTCACCAGTCACCTTAGGGCATCCTTCTGTCAGGGGCCTGGCTCAGATGCCAGATGCCTAGAAATTTTTCAAAAGTGACTAAATTAATATTTTTCATCCTGGTCAAAATTCCTGGCAAAATCCCCAGAAGTTATGTCTTGGAAAGCTACATGAATAATAGCCCTACTGAGAGCAGAAGGAGGAATGAAGCCTTCTGTTAAACCTTCTTCGTATCCCAGACCAGTAATTTTCACTTCTTCCATTTGCTCCAGTGAATCTGTCATGAAGAAGGACACAAAAAGGACCAATCTAGCTGCCTTGGGAAGTGGAATTTACATGTCTGACTCAGAAGTTAGGTCTTATATGACGATGACTTTCAGCAAGTAAGGAGAAATTCTGAAGAACATGGAAAGCGAGTTCAGGGGTAGGGCAGAAGCATACTGGAGCTGAGTTTTGGTTTCTGTGAATATGTGTATGTGTAATAAACAGCAAATCTCTCAAATAACAGGATGCCCAGAGTTGTTGTGGCTGCCCCATCCCTGGAAGTGTTCAAGGCCAAGTTGCAGATGGCTTTGAGAAACTTGTTTTAATGCAAAGTGTCCCCACCCATGGTAGGGGGGTAGGAACTAAATGATCTTTAATGTCCTTTCCAACACAATAATTTGATAAATGTGGGTTTAGCTAAATGGATTATGCCCTGTGTAATCCTGATATCCACCAATTGAAATATCTTCTTAGTTGGGAGGGTCTGTATTTTTTTCTTTCCTCAAGATGGAACAGATGCTAGAAAAAACAAAGGGAGTAACTGCAAATAATTTTTAATTAAATATCTTTAAATTTATTCTGTTGGATTTTTTCTCCTCTGTGCAGAAACATACTGTGCAGTGCATGACAGCATGACTGAGGGTGAGTCTGTTAAAGAACTGGTCTGCCAAAACTCTGGAATGAAAATTAAAGTTACAACACTTCTTAACCAAGGGGATATGCTCCTTGATTTCCTGGTTTGCTCATCAAAATCTACTCTTTGTTTAAAAGAGCCTACCTAAAGTCACTTAAATTTTGCCAAGCCTTGAAAAATGCACACACTGAAGTTGCACCTGGGATCAAACACTTTGCAAAAATACCTAAAAATAATCATTTAGATGTTTGAAGAATTTTACATAGGACCATGACCTTTAATGTACAAAGTATGCTACAACACTTTGGATGAATGTGACCTGACCTAAGCAATTAAAATTTCCTATAATAAATCATAACATTATTAACTGGAAGTTAGATATTTATCCAGTCTGTGGTATCTCTGCTCATTTTTTCTGTGTTTCTATGAAAAACTGAATTCTTGTGCTTAGAGGCACATAATCTGTGTAATCTGTAAAAAGCACAAGCCACTTTTCCAGCTAAATGTCTCAGTCACAGAACAGCGATAACCTCACAGAACTGAAACAGAGAACACATCAAGCCATAATTTCAAAATCTGTGCAGAGAAATGCCAAAGAACACATTTTAAAGTAATTACAGAAGATAATTTAAACAAAGTCCTAGCAATGGCCTTCAACAGTCAAATTGATACCTAGGTAGGTTACTTTAAAATTCATTTTCTTCCATGTTTAGCCTTTGTGAACCCTTAATTTATGCAACCAGGCTTGAAGGCAAAAAAAAAAAAATGCTGTAATCTGTGGCTCTGTTTTGTTCAACAGAAATATTTCTTTGGAAACACATCTAATCCACTAGTTAGGAAAAGAACAGAAATTCCAGAATCTTTCCTTATGATTTCTTAAAATTTCCTTTCTAAATTTCTAATATACTAATGAAAATAAATAATAAAACCACCTCACCACCATATGTACATCATTTTCTCTACCTCAGAGAGGAAAATGAGGAATGGCTATTTTATCTTTAGAGTGTTTTCAAAAAATTATTTTGACAGTATGTTAATCTTAATTCAACACTATAAACCAGAGTGTTTCAATCTGGCTAATGAAAAGAGCCAAGTGAAGAGAAGCAAGGAATGTATGTATTTATTAGTTTATTATTTATTGAAGAAGTAGTCCAACTGGGAATAGGCTCGAGCTCTGGAGCTGGCCACACAAAAGAATTTCCAAAGATACCCTGACACATAAAAGTCCAAACACATCTTCACATTATATCCATGACTGAGCAACAGCCTCAGCATCATGTCACCATTCAAAGAATACCAAATGCACTGGGGAAATGTGTATCATTAAGCAACAAAATTAGCAGTTGACATCTGCTCCACAAGATAGGAGTAGTTTTACAATTCCATGGCTGTCAGCTCTCACTGCTACAAGAACACAGTTTAAAGGATCCTTGTTTGGATTTGCTCCTGCTTTGAGCAATATTTTGGTGCAAAGAATCTCATTACTAGAAACAGCATGACAAAGTGCAGTCTCTCTTCTGTCATCATAAGTATTTGAAGTTATGTGTTCAGACAAGAGAGTGTTGACATCCAAACCATTTTCAATGACAAGCTCTAGACACTGGTTCTGGCTGTCTACAGCAGAATGAACAGTGCTTGACCCACTTTCCTGGATTAAAGTTTGGGATGTGGCTGCAAAGAGATACTTCCTGCCCCTAAAAAACTGTCAACAAAACTAGGCAGGTGTAACTTCCTTACAGGATGAAAATAACCCTCATCCATCTATGCTCTTAGTTACTACCTAGACATCTTACAAAGAATCAAAACACAGAAACATCAGTTTTGAGTACTCTCAAATAAGATGTGTTTAAGTCGTTTCAGTGGTTTTCACTTAATTCTAAGGAACGTGTTTTGCATTTTGCTTAGTTTCTGCTAAAAAGAAAAGTTAATTAAATCTAATCAAACAGAGGTATTTCTGAAATAGAAATGTACCTGAATATACATTTGCAAGTTTACCACAAACATCTTTGATGTAACCTTGTGCCACATTGTTTCTTAGAGAAAATGTAAAGTCCAAGCTCATACTCACAGGTGATGCCCCTCATAAGCCATTTTGTGTAAGGGAAGCAGCCCTGCCTCACCAGGCTCATTGCCACTTCCTCCAGATTTCAGAAGCAGAGCTCTGCAGTCCAGACTGAGTCCTCGAGCTGCTTAAAACAATACTGGTACACGATCATCTGCTAAGGCCTTGACATGTCCACCTCAAAGGAGAATATGGAACTTATATTTATATTCAAAGTGATTTATAGATCATCATAAAAACAAACCCAGAGTACCTTCCTCCTTATTTTCAGATATATTTAAGTTAAAGCTTTACTAAAGCACGGAATATTTTTTGTGACAAATATAAAACCCAAAATCAAAATAAGAGGTGTACAGACACAAGTTCAAGTGCTCACCTGAGCGGGCTCTGCTTTGACTGTAAGCGTTACAACTGAGGACTTTCAAACTGACATATTTCAAATATACTTCAGTAATTAATACCAATATAATTCCATACGTGGAAGGAAAGGTAGGAGGGAGGGATTGAGTGGAGTGAAGAGAAACAGAGAAGGACAAGAAGAGCATGTATAGCAATCTCTCCTTGACTGAAAGGGATTGCTTTCAACTCTGCCACTCCTCTCACATGCATTACAGAAACATGTAAGCATCACTCTAGTCCAGCAGAAACACTCACATATGCTTCCTTTCCTTCCAGCTACTTTCCTCTTTTTTTCCTGAAAGACCTCAGCACTCAGGCAAGATGTATGCCAGTGCAGAGGTGAATTTCTCTTTTCCTGACTACATATTATGATTAAGATGCTCCAGCACATCACAGTGATCACATTCAGTCGTAACCCCTAATGGTCTTACCCAATATTTGTCCTTAATGTTCACATTTCCAGCATTCTTCAGAATGTCAACAATGTCTTTGCATCTCTGTTTTGCAGCTTCTTGCATTGTTGACCAATAAGTTTCTCCTTGTAAATCATGGTATTGGGATAAACACCCTTTTCCAGGATCATTTACCCATTTTCCACAAAGCCAGTTTTTGCTGCCAAAGTTAGTGCTGTTTTCCATTGCATGTTTTTTATTGCCACATTGATTCATAAGATGCTAGAGGTAAGAAAGTGAAAAAAAGATACAACAAAATAAAGCACAAGGCTGTTAACACATACACATATATCAGAAATCCTTAAATGCTAAGTTTTAATTACAAGTATTTGTAATTATGGTCACCTAACCAGTTCTTCTAAACACACTGAATACTGAATAGAAATTCTTGCCTTGTCTGTAAGCTTCTGAACAAAATGTTAAAAATGGTCCAATTTATTTGTTGGTGTAAACTGATGCAACTTTTCCAAAACCAGAAATTTGTTGGAACATTTAAACAACATGAGCAAGATGCTCCATGGAGGACTTGATCATACTTCTTTCAGTTAACATTTCTAGCCTACATTGATGTCTACATTGTTCTATATTTCTTTGTTGCTCCCCTTATCTTATGGGATATTTTAACCTTTCTTGCCATCTAAAGTGACTTCAAATACTTGTGGAATTGGCTGAACTGCAACCTTGTGCAGTGGAAACCACTCTCTTTGATCAGTTTCCTTCAAAGCATATGTCAGGTTCACAAGTCCTTGAAGCCCAGATACTTGACCTTACAAACTTGAATGGATAAACATGATGCAGTTGAAAAACAATATGTCAAAAGCTCAGATTTGCAAAGGGACTATTTTATTTAATTTTAGAGTGTCATTTTTGTTTTGTTGTTTGTTTGTTTGTTTGTTTTGTTCTGTTCTGTTTTTACCCCAGGACACCTTGCTTCATGGATGTTACAATTTTCCTGTTGTTCTCACTAGGTGATACAATAAAATGGTCTCATGTCATTAATTATCTCTTTTAATGGTCCTTAATATATTAAAACCCCCCAAAACAAACCCCAAACACTCACAAATATTGTTTTATCTTTATACTGCCAAAGCACAGTGCATTAAAGAAGAAAAAGGTCTTTGGACTCCCCGCACTATTTCTGCAGTCATGAAGTTTAATGGACATTCACGTGAGTTTGGTACACAAGGTCAGGCCATGGCCAAGCCATGCCACCTATTATTTTCAAGGTGTGAGAGTCATTGAAATGCTCAGTGGATTAGTAACAGAGTATGTCAAACCTTTTAACTACAGTCATCAACTTAATTCAGTCTGTTCATATCACCAACTGTAACTGTGGCTTATGTTCACTATGCTTTTTCCTCATGATATCACACCAACCAACCACCTTACTAGTAAATTCTCATTATAACTGGAAGGCCAGGAATGATCTCTTTACAACATCTTCTAGGTTTTTGAACTGTAAAATGCAGTCTTTATATGTTGTAAAACAGACAGAAATAAAAATGTTTTAAGTTAATACATGCTGTACCTACCTAGGTTTTTCCAAATGAGTTTTGGGTTTTGATAGTTTCAAAATAGTTTGACTGTTTGATTCAATCTTAGTGGCTTAACCCATTTGTCTTGTTGAATCTTTTTATTTATTTTTAAACTACTACTTCCACAGTTTGTGCAATCATGTGCTCTTTCTACCACACTGAACACTTACCATCCTCAAAATGTTGCACAAATATTACACAACTATACTAAGTCCCTATTGTATGTTTGTCACAGCTCATGGTTCTAGTCATCCTGCAAATAGAGAAGGAACATTGGAAATGCTACTTGGAAGAAATCTTCTGAAACTTATTTTCAAGGGGAAGAGGTAATCAACTTTCTCTTCAGACTAGTTTCTGCACTGCTCTTGTAAGCAGTAAGTCACTCAAAGTACCATAGCCAGTATTATAATCCCATCCACAAATACCTTACAAGTTAGTATATTATGATAAAGCTTGCAAACCAAAATTAAATTAGTAAGGGCTTACATTTAGATTGACTCAGAAACTAACTGAAAACTAACTGACTAAAGGTCTCTTGGATTCAGACTCCCACATAATACAGTTTCTCACCTTTTCCAATGTGCACTGGAATCATGGCCTGGGTTTTCAACTGCAAGAAAACAAGTTTGAAGGAAGATATTAAAAATCTCTCTGTCAATCCCATTTTCTCTGATGGAGAAAATATACAGCTTGGGTCTTGAGTGCCATCTCTGAGCACAAAAAAAAAGGAGTCCAAGAATAATAAAAGAATATTTACAAACACATTTTCATTTAGGGCTTAGAAAAACAGATCTTTCTGTTGTTCATAAAGGAGAAGCTTTTCTGAAGGTTCTCTTCTCTGTCCCTTCCTATTGTGTCCATAGTCAAGGTTTCAGCATAAAGGCCAAAAGAACATTTAACATGGAAGTTGGACTGAGGAACTGCTCATCACAATGTGGACACATGTACTACTCTCCCTCATCTCTTATGGGCAATACACTCCATTGACAGGCAGAAGAATTCTGAGGCAAGATTCTTTGACGCATTTTTCCTCTCATTTTCATTAACACTTCTCAAATTCTGATGGCACCTTACAGCTTCCATCACTTAACTCACAAATACACTCCTGTTATGAACACTCACAAACCTTTCAGAGAGCAAAGATAAAATTTCTCCTGGACTAGCAGTTTCAGAAATATACATCAATGAACATAACTGCAACCTCAAACTGCCATCAGCTAAAAGGAAAGTACATTTTAGAGCACATGAATATCTCATTGGCAGCTAAGAGGTGCTCCTAATGAAACAGTTAATTTACGTGAGATAATTTATTAAGGAGAAATATGTAACATTCATAAACTTATTTCCTCCACAACTGCTTTAAGACAAAAGTTACCTTCCCCTTTTTCATACCTTTCATTTTGAAAACCCTCACTTTGAAGATTTTATACCATTGATAAAACTTTTTTTTTAATGAATCAGGATCACCCTATTGGATACATGGAGGGACCTTCATGCTCTGCCAGCCTTACTGAAGTTGCTGTCCTTAGGAAAGTTGAGAACTATTATATTCCAGCCCATCATGTTATATTTACCCCAGAGCCTGAACTGAAAAGGCTCCTGAAGACTTGCACAGACCTCAGATCACACCCTCACACTGCAAAATCTCTGAAAAAAAAAGTCAGTTTAGTATATTAAAAAGACATTTTAGCAATGTTCACATATGGTCTATTCCTGCCAGATGATAAATACGCTCTTAACATCAGTGTTTCCAGGAAGAGTTAAGAACACTAAGTAAGATAGTTTTTTTAGTAATAAAATAGTTTTATTTTCATTAAGAATGTATTTCCTTTCTATGACTCCTTTCTCTCCAAAAGATCAGAGGAATAAACCAGTTTAGAGGCCACCCCAGAAAATTTTCTCGGGTCACATAGTTTCCATACCCAAAACCTTCTCCTGCTTTGCTACATTCCCCTGAGTGATTTCACCAGAGGCATCATAAAGCTCTTGAACACAAACTTAACCAGAAAGGGCTCAGATGAGCAGTGTTTCAGAATTGCTGTGTGTACTATTTTCAAATTATCTTATTCCACAAAAATCCATACACTGTAAAATGAGAAAGTTGGTTAGTAGCAAGTGACTGTGACAGGGTAGAGTCAGTGTGAGGCAAAGAGCTCCCCAGAGCTGGACACGCTGCCAAAGGGTCTACAGGCACTCCAAGAGCCTGATTTGCTGTATCACTGCTGGTAATACACTGTGCTGGGGTGACAAGGGCTGACCAAAGCATGGATGTTCCACAGGGATCACAGGGAACAAAACAGCATGGCTGATACATCGTTCAGCAACAGAAACATCGCTGCTCCCTTACGTGATGTGGCAATGAAAAGGCTAAAAAGCTCAGCAGGAAAATCTTCTTCCATTCACCCTCTGGCACTTTCTCAACTGCCAGACGCACACACTAGATCACTGGAAACAATTGCAAACCCTTACTCTAAATAAGTTGTAGTTTTTTATATTACAAAGAAGATTTTCCTGAAACAACATTTTGAGTAGCCTGATATTTTTCTGATACTTTTTATATTCATACCTGAAACACTAGACATTACTCCTTGATGTTCTATTTAGAAAAAATGTTTTTCTCTCTAAATTACTGTTTTCTCATTAGAAAAAATATGAGCTACTTGCTAATCATGGAAGTTGCATCTTTCCTTGGAAAGACATGTATCAAGCATTTATCGCTTTTAAACACATAAAGTTACGTGAGAGTTAATGCTATTCTAATTTCTTATCCTTAAAATAAGCTAGACAATCTTAGCTTTATTCTATAAATAGGAGGCCCTTAGGCATGCACAGAGGTTATTCATAGCAATGAAAGAATTACTAGCAACCTAAATTTGGACTCAGTCTCTGAAGTATGACGTTTTTAAACTATTTCTCTGTTAGTTTAATTGGCGAGCACAGCACAGTCTCACCATTTCAACCCATTATCTTGCCAGTGCTACTCTGGGGCCTGAATTTTGAGCAGCCAGGAACAGTGCCCTGCAAGCTGAGGTGTCCTGTGATACTTCTAAAATTAAATACGCAGTTGTTAGATAAATTAAGGTCTGACCTTGTACAACTGTAACATAAGCAGACTCGACCCTCAGGAAAGAATTACACATGACTTCTCTAAAATCTCATCAAATGTAACACGAGGTCTGGGGATATAAGAGTATCTGTGTCCCCATTGGTTAAACTACTCCCATTAAGAAAATTAAGTATTTGCCAATTATTCTCAAGCACTACGTTAACAACATATGGGAGCATATTTACATAAATCACAACAAATTTGAGAAGGTTTAGCCTTCAACTAGTTGCAGATCCCACCATATTACATCACCAAACACTAATCTCTCTCTCTGAGGCTGACATGATCAAAGCTTTATAGATTCAATGACAGACAATTACAGTACTTATTTAACCAGTTTAGTAACTTGAAGATGGACAAAGAAGCAGGAAGCATGGCACCACAGACAGCAGTGAGGAAAATAGAGAATAACTCCAGAGTAAGATCAAGAACAGCAGTACCCAGCAAGCTCAACCCAGGCATGGGATGAGGAAGAAGCTGGAAATGTCACTGATTCAAAACCTGTGTTGTTCTGGCTTTAACCAATTAGTTATCATTTTTACCATAATGAACAGACAATAAGGGTACACAACAAACTGAAAAAACCCCCAAAACTTCCATCTTGTGTTTAATTGTTCTAATGAAATTAAATTTTACAGTGAACTCCTCTGTGACTTTTGACTCACTTGCATTTATAGAACCATAAAAGTGTAAGCTTAACTAAAGCACTACATGCATTTCAATCTTTGAACATGAGATCAACAAAACCATTTAATGATGATAAACAATATTCACTGCAACTTCTTTGGCCAATGCAACCTAACTAAAGGTGGCATACCCCTAAAAAACCCCAGTATAACAGAAGCAGACAGAAGCAATGCTGAGATCCTGTTCTACTGCTAGCTATGAGATTATATGAAGAGAGATATATTCTTATCTAATTTAAAAATGAAAAACATGCATTTTTAATATATATAAAGAACACAAATGTAATTATTTACTTTCAGTTCTTTCATTTTCTGTACATAACCAAGACACCACCAGAATTAGTACATATCCACATTACAAACATGGAATTGTTTTGATTTTCAGATATTTTTAATAACATTGTGCATGAAGCGCCTGATTTCACTCATACATAATTACTAGATATAAATCCATCAATTATGTTTCATGCAGAATAAATAAGTTGTAGTTGTATATACACCACATCACATGGCAATTTGAGATATAATATCATGCAATAAATTCATTGGTGAGACAAACATGAGAAGGAGAGCTATAGCACGGCCTTCTTAAGTTACCTGCATACTGAATATTAATACATAGGATACTAGTCATAACAGAACCCGCGGTGTAAAACAAATAATAACTGTGAAATGCTATGTGGGAGGTTTGGGGTTTTTTTGTTTGTTTGTTTTCAAAGTCAGTACACTGATAATACTTTGTAGGTTTCAGCTTTGTTATATTTTAAAATAAATCATGCATTGAAATGGGATTTGACCAGTTTGGAGAACTTCCCACAGTACCACTTTGAGATGGGTTTAATGAAGATTTTCATCAACAATGCCTGTTGTTTTTCACTTTGTTTGGATGTGGCAAGCACTCCCACGTGCTTAGGCTGTCCAAAGTCCCTCAGAACTACTGCTGGAATGACACTGACTGTGCTAAAAGATTGCCAGGGGCAGAACCATTGGTGCTGTGCTCTGTCAGTGTCACCAGGAGACAGATCATCTGGTTGGACCATCACAGAGAAGGGGAAAATACAGGGCTGATCCAATAAAAAAAAAAGGCATGAACTTTTAAAGACTGGCATTTTGAAAAGAAAGAATTTCAGTACCTCGGAAAGAAATTCCAGCTGTTTCCTATGCAATTGCAAAGAACACAGGTGTAGGAAAACACAAACCTTGCATACTGATATAAACTGTATGAGGCACTGTGCTTTAGTTGCAGACTGGAGGAAGTGCTGGTTTTATCAAAGCACTGGCTTCCAGGGAAAAATCTGATATTCTGAGACTCAGCTGGGGGAGTTTGTTTTGTCCAGAGTAAGATACAAACTTACAATGTGATTATTATAAAGTATTACTGCGGAAAATTCACACTTTAAGTTAGCAACTAAGCATACGACTTAATAGAGGGACAACTGGATCTTCAAATGAACATCATGTTCACCTCAACCAATAATTTAAACTGTCTTTTCATTGCTCTTTTGTCCCACTGTCTCTACCTCAAGGTGCTTAATTAAGTTCCCTGTTTTCTATTTTCTGCCTAGTTCTGTTTTAGGGCATTTTTTGCTTTTCTAAGCGATCCCACGAAACGACCCCGAGCCGGGCGCTCCCGCCGAAGCCATTACCCGCAGCGGCCCCGCGCACGCGCACTGCTGCCGGCCCGCCGGCCGGGGCCGCTGCGGCGCATGCGCAGCCCGGCGCCCTCCGCTGCGTCCTCTGCGGGCGCCGCGAGCGCGGCCATGGCGGGGGCGCTGAGGAAGGTGAGGCGCCGCCGAGGGCCGGGAGCCGCGTCCTGCTCCTGCGGCGGGCCGGCATTTCTGGGGGCGGGCAAGGAGTGTCTCAGCCGTGCGGTGAGAGCGGGCGGCCACCCTGCTAGGGAAAGGCCGAGGGCAGCGCAGGGCCTGGGTGACCTCCCCGGCAGCCGGGGGCGGCGGGCCCGCGGTGTGGGGCGGCTGGAGCCAGGAGCACCGGAGCTGTGCCAGCGGCTGCTTGGTGCGCATCAGGCACAGCAGCGCCAGGATGGCGAAGGAGGGATTGTCCCGCTCTGCTCTGCACTGAGGCGGCCTCAACTGGAATGTTTGATCACCGCGGTCTGAGAAAGATATTAAGCTATTAGAGAGCATCCAAAGGAGGGCAGCGGAGATGGTGAAGGTGCTGTAGGGGAAGCCCTGTGAGCAGCGGCTGAGTCATTGGTCTGCTCAGCCTGGAGAAGAGGAGGCTGAGGGGAGACCTCACTGCAGTTACAGCTTTCTCATGAGGTGAAGAGGAGGGGCAGACACTGATCTCTGTGGTGACCAGTGAGAGAACCCGAACAAATGTCCTGAAGTTCTGTCATGGAGGTTCAGGTTGGATGTTAGAAAAAGATTCTTCACCCAGGGGGTGTTTGGGCACCGAACAGGCTCCCCAGGGCAGTGGTCACAGCACCAGCCTGACAGAATTCAGGAAGTGTTTAGACAGTGCTCTCGGGCACATGGTGTGATTCCAGGGAATGGTGCTGTGCAGGGCCAGGAGTCAGACTTGATGCTTGGGGGGTCCCTTCCAACTCAGGATATAAGGTGAACTGTTCCCTCTTGGAGCACTGGAACTCTGGGATAATGGGCATATGGCAGGAGGTAAGGCTGGTGTCGTGGAATGATCTCTGTCAGGTGTATATTGAGTCAAAACAAAATGATTAGTGTGGAAATGGATGCTTAGGTGTGTTAAGTATGTTTATGCTCTCTCTGCAGACCACTGGACTTGTAGGATTGGCTGTAGCTGAGAACCCTCATGAGGTATGAAACATATCTCATTCTGTAGTAATGGAAACTCTTAGTGAGCGCTAAGGTTTTTGTGATGTGTTTTCATGGGTAGGTATGCAGTATATCTTAACCTGGTTCCAGCTTTATGAAATAATTAAAATTGTGCACTGTGATAAAGGTTTAATGCATGTCATTATAAGTTATTTTACACATGTACTTTTTGTGGCATGCACTGATTTCAAAAACCTCTCTAGTATTAGTATCTTTATGAACCAATATTTGACTTCTTTCATCAGTAATTCCAAAACAAAGGACTCTTTAAATTCATTTCTTCGTAAATATAATTCCTGCTTCTCAGGCTAAAAGATTTTTGCTGCTTTGCTGTGTAAGCAAGTATTGAAATAACTTACACTAAAGGGCTGGCCTAGTCTTAGGTGATAGAGACTAGCCACACCAAGGCCCTGGGATGGCAAGCAGTGCTGAGATTGGAATACTTGAGTGGTACCAGGAAACTGCATTAGGTGGTTCTTTTAGCAATATGTGGCTTTCTTTTTACCTCCTCAGGCTCACTAGTGTAAGTATGTTTGTCACATCATGCTTATTCAGGAGGCATTAGCTTTGAAAGAACTTCAGTGATTTTTTAAAGTTCTCCACTTTGAAATTTCTTATTATATAGCAATTTATTTCAAAAATGCTTTTTGACTCCAATACTTAAGAATGCTGTAAAAAAGAACCCTTGAAAAAATCACTGTTTGGTTGAAATCATTCTAGCTCAGTCTACAGCCTTGTCAGATGCCTTCTGGGTGAACTTAGTACATTTTAGTTTTTTTCAGCAACTTAAAGCTAAGAGTAAAGTACTCGACAAGGGTTTAGTTGTTCAGATTCTTTGCCAATTGTTTTTTTGTTTTCTGTTTTTTCTTCCTCGTACTTCTTTTAGTATTCTGCTTCTATTTCTTATTGTTTCTATGGGACACCCATACCTTGTCAGATAGATACAATTACTTATTCACCACAATGTGTCCTTTATCCCTGCATTTAAATCCAGCAATAAAAGTTTCAGGTTTAATTTAAATCTATTTGTTAACCAGAACTTTGCACCAGCATGAGGAAAAGTGACAAAAAACCCTCCATTATAATCTCTCTGTATCTACTCAGATAAATTTTCAGTATCTGATGGGTTAGACATGAATTTGCCTCTTTTTTCTCTCTTTTTTTTTAAGAGCACTTTATGGTCTTTATTGTTTTTCATTTTGCATCAAGTTTTTTCATTTGCATCAAGTGTTCAGATTGCAATCGTCTTTGTTTTTTCATGGTTCTTTTTTTCCTTTGAGGAATGTGACAGCAGGAATTTTTCAGTCCTGAGAAATACCTGCTTTACCCAAGATAGAGTTCAGTGGCTCAGTCTTAATTATTAGTTGATCTTACACTTCTGGATTGAATACTGTGTTTTGTGTATAGATAGTAGCTTAGCAGGTTTGGTAGGACAAGAAGTTAAATAATTGCAGTTGTGTATTTTAACCATGTCTTGTGATCACCTCAGCGCCTGCGAATACTGTACACAAAAATCCTTGGTGTCCTGGAAAACATTCCCAAAGATGCAGCCTACAGGAAATACACTGAGCAGATTGTAAATGAGCGATTTGATTTGGTTAAAAAGGTAAGTACAGTGCTAATTCATTAATGCTGCTCATTAAAAAAAAAATCATAGGATGAGAAAAGTGATTTTTGGAGTGCCTGGCTGTTTCTTACGTGCACATGTAACTTTCAGGTATCAATTCAGAAACAGTTGAAGTATCTAGGTTTGTTTTTGTTATTGACTGGGATATTTTGATGTGATATGGACTGGGATATTTGGATATTTTGGTATGAAAAGAAATTGTTAATTTCCTGCTGATGTTTCATGATAAAGTGGTAATTTTCACACACTTTGACAAGAAAAAGTATGTGCTCTTGCCAGTGTAGTATCTTAGCACAAGCCTCGTCTTTAATATTTAAGACCACTTCTTGTTACATTAAACTCTGCAATACTGTTACTGTGTATTTAGGGTGATAATTGAAAGCTTGCATATAGTTCTATAAAAATCTAAGAATAAGACTTTTTTCAAAGATAAAAACTAAAGCCTTTATCTGCTGATATTTCTTTGGATTCAGTAAATAGCATTCATTCTTTGTATTTATCATTGAGGGTTTGATGTTTGCTTCTCAGTAAGAAATGAGTGTGAGATTTCTTTCATAATGTAAAATTATATAAGCCAGCTGATTTGATAGTAGTTCTGAGAAAGATTGGAGTGTGATCTAGTTAAATTATTGTTTTCATGCTTCTCATGTGCTTTCTACTCTCACTAAAACATTTTATTGTATGTATTTAAACACACAGGAGTCTGATGTGCAAAAACTACAGGACAAACTGAACTGCGGTCAGATAGAAGAAGTCATTGTACAGGTAAAGAGGGGAAATTTGAGATGACATGCAAATTTAGCTGTGTTTTTTAGTGCTCCTTGGGCTGAGCTTTTGTTCAGAAAATTGGAAGTTTCGTGTATCTTCCTTTGCTGCAATACAGTCAAGCAGAAGAAAAACCCCTGATAACAAATTGTCATGTAGTGATGGGATGGCCTTGCTAAAACCTAAGAAATTAACAGCTGTTTCTTGCATTATGCTTACAGATATGCATGTATACCTACATTGCTTCTTACAGAGTCTAAATCAGTGAAAAGGGCAGGAGAGGATTGAATAATACTGGGGGTAATCCAAACCAAGTGGAAAATATCATGAAGTTGTCATTGGGAATGTCTCTCTGAACAGAATATCTGTTTGGGTATTTAGGGGTGATGGGATTTTTTTTAAAAAACAACCACCAAAAGCATGCAGTTCCTTTGATATTTATAGGTAAAATTTGTGGTAGCCTGTGATCATGATAGATAGTGACATCACTGAGGTAATTAACTGACATAGAGGTAATTAATATTTTGGCAATTGTATAATATTTAAGACTTTGTGTATGGTGTTTATTAACAGGCTGAAAATGAGCTGTCCCTGGCAAGAAAAATGATACAGTGGAAACCATGGGAACCTCTAGTTGAAGAACCTCCTTCTAATCAGTGGAGATGGCCAATATAATTTTCAAAATGGAGTAACCTCTTGAAAGTCAAAAGAAAAAATTAATTATTAACCTATTGTTACTGACAGTTGTCTTTAAATTAAAGATAATCACTTAATTAAAATATATTTTGTCCGCTTAATTTAGCAGTCTAAAGGCTGCTGCCAATTTCTTGGAGAAATGGTTTTAAGAAAATTCTTTCTGGCATACCTACATCCTTTTGTTTATTTAATTTTTTGCATTTTATATTAACAGGGTACTTGCGTCTTATGCTGAGTTGTTTTTGTAATCTGTATTTCTATGTTAAAAATACAGATATTATAGGCTACTTGAAATCAAAATCCAAGTTGTAGAAAAGTATGGTGATTTTGTCCCACCTTTGGCTATGTATTTTTGCTACTCCCTGACAAGGTCTTAATGGCCATGCAGATACTGCAGTGAGGGATTTAATGCTTCCCAAAAACAACAGGATTTTAGGTTTCAGCTGAATCTCTGTCCTGAACTGGCTGACCCTACTGCCCACATAACTAAACACTATTTTTGGCTTGTGGGAGGTACTGGGGAGATGGGAGAGGTGACGGGGAGAAAGAAGACTGCCACTCGGATTGATGGCAGCAGCAGGTTCCTTGTTAACAGGTAGGTTACCATGCTTGGCATAACACCTGTGGCACAGACCTTGGCACTGGCATCTTTGGAGCCATTGTGCAGACTTGTATTGGTCTATTGTTGATTCACATCTTGAGTGTTACGTGTTGCAGGAAATGGGCTGACATCAGGCTGGCTACCAATCACCAGCTGGGTCCCACAGGGCTCCATCATAGGCCCAGCGCCCTTCAGTATGTTCATTAAGACTTAGATGCAGGACAGGAAGGGATTCTCAGTAAAATTGCTGATGACACTACTTT